CGTTGCGTGCATGGCCTCCTTCTGCAGGTAACGGGGAGACGCTCTGGCGGCGGTCTTGGTCAGGATCCAAAAATACAATTTAAATATTTTGCACACTTATTCCACTTATTCCTAGTGTGCCACTGGTTACGGTGCCGCGTGCTGGCACGCGTTCCAGGGGTTGCCGACCCCTGCTGTAGGCGGTGTGAAAGCACCTATTGTTTTAAATAATGGTCGGAATGTGACCTGTGAGCCTTCTGAATTACCGTGGGACAGCACATTCTAAACTAAAATGTTCAATCAATAAAGTAACATCTTATCTTATCTTAATAATATCTTCATATTAATAATAATAATAAATCATACAGTATGTGTCCGAAAGGGAGCAGGAGGAAGCAAACACAAAAATATACAAAAAATATACTGCATATTAAAGCAAACGATTGTAAAGGTAAAAGTATGAGCATAACAAATAAAGAAGTGTAATGTAAACATTTACATTATAATTATGATTATTTAATATATAAAGACTATATATTATTGAATTACAAGATTAGATATACTTTAGTTGATCTAAAATATTGATGTGTTCAAATGCTCTTCAAAACACAACTGAAAGTCCATGAAACTTGTCTTTCTGTATTTGTGAATGAAGCGCCATCTCCTGGTTAAAACCTGAAATTGAAAATCTGGCAACGCCCTCTTGGAAAATAGTGGGAGGGCTTAACATTCCTCTATACTGGTCTTTGGCAGGTCGTAGGCAGGAAGCTGTAAACTGGAGTCTGAAATTCAGTGCCACATCTGTAGCAAGATGGCGGCCATGTGGCAACGTCGGTCTCCATTGGCCAGCAGTGCGGGTGAGCTTCAGCTAGCTCTGGAACTTCCACCTCGGTGGCAGCAGGTCCCGCCTCGGCTCCGCCTCTTTGCCCTTATTTGGAGCAGGCGGGAGTTGAACTCTGACGTCACTGTCGAGCCGTTAGTGGCCGACTCCGCCTACCAAGGGCTTCTCGGCAACTCTGCAGAATCCTATGGGTGACGTCACGGACCCTACGTCCATTGATTTAGATTTATACACAGTGGTTTTAATGGTTTTAATAAGCGAGGCAGGCACCCACACACTGTCCCGGGTGAAGTGGGGATCATCTTTTGTTTATCTGCAGGCGGGGCCTCAATGACACCGATAGAAGGGCGGAACTGTGGCCCCTGTCATTAGTTTAAAGCTACCAGGGTTGGCCAAGATGCTTTGCACAAGTCCCCAGCTACAGTCATCCTCCACAGGCCGGTCGGCTGCAGCCAGCATGTCGAACTCGGAGAGGGTTGTGTTGGCTCTGGGAGGAGCGGGCACCGTGGGCTCCGGGGTGGTTAAAGCTCTGCTGGACAAAGGTAAACTGGACTTGGAGAAGCAAAGAAAACCCCTCTCTCCTGCTAGGAGGATGTACAGTAGGCTATACAGGGAATATTCTCATTATTCTCTTTGAAGAAGAGGGGTATATCTCTCACACATTTATTTGGAGACTGTCTAAAGAGTTTTACGCGCAGATGACTGTCTCGCTGTTTTTCTGCAGGGGTCATTTCAACCCTATTAACTGCAGAGTAGATATTGTATAACAACTACTTAATGCGCGTTTTCAGATTTGTTTAATGACTCACTATTAATTTGATGTTGAATGCTCGTTTGCCTGCGTAAAGTTGTTCACTGTGGGCAGTGCACTGCTACATCCAAACGCTGTACATTCGGGTGCGCAGTGCACAGGTCCGATAGTAAAACTTTAAATAATATTCATAAATGTGTTTAATTAAGTGGGTTTCGTAAGTTTAAGATAACTTGTTTTTGACTTTTCTTCTGTGTATCTTATTTCTGCTGGTGGTCTGATCAACAGATGCCTTTCCAACGCTTTTATATTTTCTGATTTAAACTCGGAACTCTGCACTGTTTTTATTTATTTATTTTGTATTCAATGTCATGGTTGGACGTGGTTAAGAGTTATTTCGGATCTTCCTCCTTATTTAGAGCTTGTTTATGTCCCCTACCATACTATCTGTGTTTTTATTTATTGGACCATTGAAAGAGACAGGGCAGCACTCTCAGTGATGAGAGTGCATTAGTTAGGGATTTACATTGCACCTCTACAGCTTTACTGTTTGGTGTTGCCATCTGCTCTGTCACATTTAACCATCTGATGGCCTTGATAAACAGATCTGTACAAACAGGCCTGCTAATGTTAATGTTCCTTTTCATTTGAAAGGGATTAGGACCACTGTGTTAAAGGTACTGGTTTATGTCTGTCTGAACTTAATGGAGTGTGTGTGTGTGTGTGTGTGTGTGTGTGTGTGTGTGTGTGTGTGTGTGTGTGTGTGTGTGAATAGGTTTCAAAGTGGCAGTGATCTCCAGGGAAAGCAGTCGGCTGGAGAGGCTCCAATCATTTGTCTCTCCCAGCACTAAGGAGAACCTCACCACTCTGGTGGGGGATGTGGGTAAGCTGGGTTAGCAGGGCCGGTCCTAGACTCTGGGGGGTCCGCGACAAGATTCCCATGGCTTTTTTATTTTAACTTTTTTGAGATCGTTGCACGTATGACAGTTAGCGTCGAATGTCCTAATGGTACCTGGCTGTCTTACGATAGCTGTTTATTTTAGTCCGATATTTTGATCTGAGCCACAAATGGTAACCGGCTGGTGGTGCTAGAGACAAATGGTACCCATATTTGTTTGGAGAATTTAGTTTGGATCGAAATGTGATAGACTGACCGTAAGTCACCTGTCACTGCTAGCATGGCAAAACATGAAAAGGTGGAAATCAGTAGGCTCTTTGGCTGAAACGCTTATGATGCTAAATCAGGGCCAAATCGTTACAGAGACAGTTAGTTGTAGTGACTATAATGCAAATGTCTTCAGTGATCCCATTAATATATGTTCTCAAAGCATATGGAAGTAGCATATCACATGACTTGGTTAAACACGTGGAGACAAGTAATAGTGGATTGCTTGAATTTAATAAACTGAATATTATTATCGTGCTATTCTTCAACAGTGTTATTTTGTTATCAATGTTTCTTTGTTACAACAACCAGACCTAGGGTTAGACCCTATGACATGAACACGTCCACAGCCTCATATAGGTCTAACAGGAAACAGAATTATAGCTTTCCTGCTTTAGCGTCCTCCTGATCGGGATTTGTTTAACCTGCAGGTCTGATTCTCAGCGCTTAGATAACTTTAGATCAACATTATTTGTTGCGAATCAAATAATACGATATTTAATGCTAAAAGTTGTCATTTAGTTGTTTGTTGAAGAAAGCTTTCGGTGGCTTCATCCTCTTGGGTTCATAAATGTGCTTAATGTTTTTGATGACCTGCTGTGAACAAGTGACTGACAGTTTTCATCCTCTGGGGACCATGGAAGACATCCAGCTACATGTATCTTTTTCAGATGAGCTAACCTTTCATTGACTTATGAATATGTCTAGAGGAAACAGTGAATGAGGGGTTACCAAAAGTTATAAATCATACCCCAAATTTCAATGGTATATTATAGCAGCTTAAAAAACAATCAATATCAGCCTGTGCAACGTGAGTCTACATTGGTCTCAAATGTCTCCGCCTGCAGGAGGGTCTCAGCTGACCTGGATCCTCTCTTCTGTGTTCCAGGCTCAGAGGGGGGGGCAGAGACAGTGAAGCAGGCGCTGCTGAAGACGGTGGGGAAAGTGACAGATGTTGTGTCCTCTCTGGGCTTCAGCTGGTGGCAAGGAGGACCCCCCCACACACAGTCCCTCAAAGACCTGCACTGGGTATTCACACACACATAAAGCTGACACCTGTTACATCCTGTCTATTCTGATTCTTGTCTGATTGTTTTTAGTTTGATCTCCCTCCAGGTAGTTGAGACATTACTTTTCAGCACATTTGTGTCATGGAAGGCCTTCTTCCCCTTGGTGAGGGACGACTCCAACTCTACCTACACCTTCATCACAGGTGAATAGTCATTGGATTTACTTATACTCCAACCGATAGATGGCCTCCTTCAAACAACTCAAACTGGCCCTTTAGCTGATTACCTAGGGTCAGCAAGACAAATGCTATATTATTATGGACACAACCTATCAAGACGATGTGGCAAATGTGTTATTAAACTATTAAAAAACCTTGATAATTCCAACGTTTACACAGTATTGTATCGAGCTTCTCATTGGAAGCAGCAGAGTGAATTAGGGCTGGAAAACAGAAACATTCAACTTAAAGATGCTAATTAGCTCAAACAAGTCGCTCAATCTATTTTTAATTTTTTTAAATAATAATTGTGAAGCATTTACTTAGAAAATTAGCATATTCAAAATGTTATAACAACAGTTATTGCGGGTGAAGGCAGTCCAAACGTAAGGACCCGAGGGGGGCTAAACACGAGATACCTCCACAAACACAGAGCTGTTGTTAGGACAAATTGCAAATGCAATGGTGATTGCGACTGTTAGTGTTGGGGGGGGGGGGGGGNGGGGGGGTGAAAGTGTCCCCCCCACTGTCCATGCAAAAAACCCAGTTAATACAGTCAGGTAAAAACACCACTAACTCCACCCCAAGCTCCAGGGAAAACGCCCACCACCAATAAATATTGAAAAAAGAACACATGATAAATGAAAGGAGACATCCTTACATGTGGATACTACAAAATGTTCACTAATTGTTAACCATTTTTGCCAATTGTAACAAGACCAATTCAGGAGATGTTTTTAATAGAGGAGTGTGTTGTGGTCTTAGTTCCCAGCCGCACAGACCTGTCCTGGTGTCTGAGTGACTGCAGTGTGTTGATGTGTTCTCAGGGGGAGCGGGGGAGAAGCTGCTGATGCCTGGGACCGGCTTCCTGACCGTCGGCGCTGCCAGCACCCTGGCCTTCTGTAAGGTTCTGCGGGAGGAGTATCCTGAGGTGCCCTGCAAACTCAACCAGGTAAGACTCTCCATGATCACACAGCAAGACTTCTATAAAAGCTCAAAGCTAATGATATATTCACCTGACCTCCGTTTACAGTCTCAGATCTGCTGCAGCTCAGCATTGGATTTAGATGTCATCAAGTGGAGAGATCCTAGAGAGAACTATAGTCTTGTGTCACACGGGTCAATTCAATTGTTATATAAACTAACTGGCAAGTCAGATGGTCTTAATTAAACTGACTAAGAAAAGTGTTCAGCTTTTTTATTTTCAATCATTTTCTTTTATTATTTTTTGTAAAGTCGCTTAACAGCTTCAGATGCGATTGTGAACTTTGAGCACTTTACATTCAGGAGAATGATTTGAATAAAGTGTGGGGTGGTGCTCCAGATGTTTCCAGAAGTGGAGACTAACCTCTCTAAGGAAGGCTTTGAACCCATCACAGCTCTGTGCCTGCACCCAGCTGCGGAAATTAAGCAGAATTTCGACATTCTGTAATCAGCACAGTTCACAAACGCTGTTTTTTGTGCAATGAGGAACAATTAGCCACAATGACAATATTAGCACATTAAGTAATTTTGCTTATCTGGATTAAATGTTGAGTTGTTTAGAACCTGTTCTGTTCCACTTCCTGCTGCAGAGATGTCTCTGTGTCCCCATCAATTACTTAATGTCCCTCTTTCCCTCTTAGTTTTTCTCTCTATTCATCCATTCTCTCATGTGTCCTCCCCCCTCTCCTCACCTCTTCCTCCACACGGGGCCCTGCAGGTGAAGATCAATGCAGGTGTAGGCACTCCGGGGCACATGGCCCCCGGGTTCCTGAACCACCTGGAGCTGGGCGAGGCTGTGGCCGCCCTCGTGGAAAGACGAAGCCCCTCCCACTCCGTGGTCACCGTCAACTGCCCGGCAGACCTAAAGACTGTGTGTCTGGAGAGGAGCCTTTAGACACAGAACCCCCCGTGAGATCAGCCTGCCCCCCGGTCTGAACTCTGCACCAACACAGTCACAGTGCTCCATTTGATTCCTTTCTTAAAAATCCATGCCCAACGTTGTCTGTTGTTAGTGTATGCTGTATATTCATTTCTCTGTTCTCAGATTATGAGCATTTCCTTGCATGTGCTGTTGTGTTATATGTTGGTAAAAAAAAAGCTAAGTATTTGAAATATTTACTTTTCATTCTTTCCTACTTTTGTATAAATATTATCACACTTGTTCTGTCTTTTGCATTGTTGGAATACATGGTACCCAATGTAATGCTGCCATTTCTCCATGGATCAACAAAACATCATTTTTATATAAAACTAAACCTCTTATCAACTGTTCTAAAAAGAAGAGGGTGTTAGCTTGAATTTAAGGTACTCTGTGGAGTAATTATTGATGCATGCTTTGTTCTGTATAAGCAAAAAAGCAACAATCCAGGAAGAACAAGATTGTTAGCCAGTAAACATTTTGTAAACAGTGCAGGTTTTTAACCCTAGCAACAATGGACTCTGTTTAATAAAAAGGGAAATGGCATTTAACAAGGAAGCTCTTAATGGTTTAACAGTTCACTTTAACTGTAACAGGGTACTTTCATTCTTGGACATAAATGTGCAACATGGTCAAAGAATGATAGAGATACGACATTTACAAAATGGTCGGTAACATTTGGTACAACATGTTGAAGTAGTTGTGGAGAGTACTATAAAGTACCTCAAATTTCAAATACTTTCTCACCTGGAAAATGCATGAAGTGGGTGGGATTGTGTCCGTTTTAGAAAGTGATATAAATAGTCAAATTTGGTTCCCCATATTCCATTGTTTGTTGGAAATGTTTAATAAACAGACGACCTCATGGATGGAGATCATGGCTCTGAATAGTGAGAATCATTGGCATGGCATGATGAGCACCCTGTTAGAACCTGTTTCATAAAATACATTCAGACTTTGTTATGGTAGTTTCTGTAAGTAAGACACAACCCAAAAAAGGCTTCTCCTTTCATTTCTACTGTGACGTCACCAGGGCTTTTCTGTAAAGTTGAAATATCTGGGATTTGAAGCGCTCTCAGTGCACCACAAATAAAACGCTAGGTGCTTTGCTGTTACTCAAGGCTTCTGCATACGCTGACTGCGTCCTGACCTCATTGCAAACAATTATAAAAAGATGCTGAGGCCCTTACATTTGTTTATGTGGACGGTGAAGCACTGATATGAAATGAATGCAGACAATACAGAGCATGATGTTGATCCCTCAGTGCGGTTTGACACGTACAATGTACACAAAGTTCATCCCTTTTGCGTGACACCGTCTTGTTCATGAGCACCAGCCCTGACCCCCTATAGGACCCTTTATCTGGCCCCCCGTTATTAAGGCCAGCATGCCCCTTAGATAAACTGAACAGAAGTTTGGAGGTCACAGCAGACTGCAGGATCAGAGGGGCTTTGTTGTCTGTTTGCAGTCCACAACAACAACAATGTAGATCTGTCATTGTAATGCCTGCACTGAAGCTGCATTTGGCCCCTCATGGGAGGGTGACAGACAGATCAGAGCAGAACAACAACAGTAGGAGTAGTGTGGGGGGTTAGGGTTTGTCAGAGTTTGTGTTTTGGACTTGTCGGCTGACGGCTCAATTAGGCCAAATTATAATTAAGACCCTAGCCACACGGAGATGATAACGAAAACGAACCAAATTCGATTTCAAAAAAGTCTTCCGTCCACACGCAATCGGCACCAGAAACGTGTCCGTCCACACGAGACCGCTCGACCCGCTGGAGACGCTGTAGTACATATGCCGGGCCTGTAAGTGGCGCTGTACTTCCGCCACAAAATACACCAAAAGCAGCGAATAAGACCCCCGAGCATGGTTGCCATGGTTGCCCTTATGGTTATTCTCCGCGGTGGATTTAGCAACATGTAATTCATGTAGTTCTCCATGTCCACTTGTTGCTGATGGCTGTGGTCGAGGAGCTGTAGATTTTGCACTAACATCTGTAGCATGGTCAGTAGCGTATGGAGCACAAAAGCAACCCTGTTATCTGCCATTGTTGTTGTTGGCGAAACACAACAGCAGAGGTGGGGAGAGAGGCAGGGCTCTGGCTGTTTCGGCGGCTGCTGTTTCTCTTTTTCTCCCTCCCCGAGGCGAGAGTGTGTTCCCGCTGTAAAAGGCAGGTGCACCGCACCCACTGTCACTAACTCTGAGCCTGGATCCCGAGCAGGACGTTCTCCCCGGTAGTCCACCAGCAGATGAAAAACACCCACCTCTCCGCCTCTTCCAAGGGACG